GTCGTTTATGGATCACCCGAGTAAATGCAGTAATTCGCGACATGGGAGTATCCTATAGTTATAACAATCTGATACACAATCTGTACAAAAAAAAATGGCTTCTTAATCGTAAAATACTTGCGCAAATAGCTATATCAAATAAGAACGGTCTTTATATGATTTGCAACAATATTCTTTCTCAGCAGGAATCCCCCGGAATGCTTTAAATTAAATGGAGTTGTGAACTCGGGGAAGGTAGAGTAGAAATTAGTATGATAAAAAATTACGATGAAATGGAACTCTTCGGGGTGCTAAAGTAAAGAGTAGGTCTTTTCCCTCTACTCTAGTCTGAATAGATGACTACCCAAGACTGGAGGTGCTCAGGTTGATCCCGAACTACACCCAATTTGAGTAGCCCCTGTGAGGGTTAATCAGACCCTCACAAGTCACAAGAAACATGTTATCACATAATGGTCCTGTCAGGTAAGAGATTCCTTCAACCACCACAAAGGGTGGAGGGGGAACCCGACCAACCGGTAGCTCTCGTACTACCGGAAGGGTATCCAAAATCTGCTTCAGCTTGTGCAGCAAATTGAATCGTGATAGGAGGACTTGATTGTCCAACCGTTTCACTTTCCAACTAAACTGACAAATTGGAGCAGCGAGGATATCCTGAAGGGACAACCTGTTAATCTTACATTTTACTTCGGGGTTGCGGTAATCCAGATGGTTATTAACCAACCGATAATACCAAAACCACCACTGCTGGTACGCCAACCACTCTCTCACAAAGCCCCTCAAACTCGTGTATTCCTGAAAAGTACATTGCTCCTCTGACACAAACAAGTCAGAAGGAGGACCCCGTAAACCTTTTGGTTTTAGGGAGTCTACAATGAACCTAGCAGAAAACCAGAATTGAGAGGGGGAGAGAGGTGCGCCACCACCCAAGGAAAACTCAAATGATGGCTGCCGGAGCCGATCCCATAATAACCATTCGTATTTCTCTCTCTCTGAATGGAGATTGGGAGGAAGACGAGAACAAGTTTTATAGCCTGCACCACCGAGTCGTCGAAACGTCGAGAAACGAATCTTCGGCCAGCGGTGTATGAGAGAGAAGCGTCCTAGAATGACATGAGCACCTAACACAGATTTTGTTGTGGCAGGTGAAATGTCAACTGAGACATTTCTAACCATAATTCTCTTAGCAAACTCAACGGCTCCAGATTTAGAAATCAAAGATTTATGCTTTGATATCTTAACCTGCTGGTCTGAGAGGACCTCGGCATATTTACGTGCTACATCCTCATTAGCAATGACTATGTCATCACCAAGGAGGGCATAAGAAGTAAAACGCTGACCAGGATATACCTGCTCCGCACACCACCACACCACTAAGTGATGGGTGAGGGCGAATAAGGGCCAAGAGGAGTAATAACCCAGAGGCTGACCTGCTACAAATGAAATCCATGACCTCTCCTCATTTGGGGAGGCATCAGGCACAATACCTATATAAAACAGGTTTGTAGCCAAACATGAGTTCACAGCAGCAGATGCAAAAGAGCGATCCAACAGTACTTCCATTGTTTCGAACATAACCAGCAAAGGCCACCGATCAGTGGCCGCTGATAAGTCGTAACAATAGGTATTGGTGGAGCCCTTCAGCCGGTACAAAGGAGCTGTTTGGTTAAAAGTCCCATCGGTTTCCAAAGACTTTAAGATCTTGGATAACCAAACATGGACTGGTTGCAACAATCTCTGATTGCACCAATTACCAATAGCAAATACTCTCCTTTTGCCCCCTCCTTCCACAACATTGGCCAACCTGCCTGTCCACACTGGCCCCATTGCAGGGTGCCAGGGAGGAAGGTAGGGACCAACCTTCATCTCAAATTCATCAAGGTCAGTCCCAGAGAAGATCTTGTTATTCCTGTCGAATGCAAAACGCACTCGAGTCGGAAATAACACTCCTTGACAGAACTGTTCACCTCGAGAGTTTACAAACTCAATGAGGAAACGAAATGCAGCTAATTCAAGAGTCTGCATAAGGAAAGGAGAACGAATTCTCCGATACTTAGCTAACTCAGGAAATATCTGCACCAATCTGTCAATAGCCCGATAAGTCGGGAGAGCCTTCCAGGAAGGGATCCACCGAAACCCCTGTTCAAGAGGGTAAGAGCGGATCTCAGGGACATACCGAAGAAGTAATGGTCTTATGGACGGTTTTAACCGTGACATAAAATCAATTACCTGATCGATATTCTCCACCGGATCTCTAATCGACTTGAACGTCTCCTTATTTATCCGCTTAGCCTTTTCCACTATAGTGAAAAGGGAAAAGAAGGTAAGAAGGAGCTGAACCTGTCGATCAGCTCTCTCACCGCCCGAATAGATTATCTTACGGGCGTAAGAGGGTATAATCCGGGGATAACCACACCGTGTGAGGGACACAGATACAGGACAGGAGGTGGATCGATCAAAAAGTTCCACCATATGCCACTCGGAGGTGGGAAGCACACTGCTTTAAGTATAAGGCTGTATGCAACCAACCTGACTTGCGGCCCATCCTGTAAACTGGTCGAAGGAACAGATATAATGTAATACAAGCTTCCTTTGTGAGACTATCCAGGATTAGGAGACAACATCGTTTTAAGATGGAGGCTCCTAACCGAGGGTATTCTAACACCCTCTGCCATTTTAAGTCAGCGAACCTTCATCTGGCTGGACTGTCGATAGAGTAGGCTGGATGTGCTATTTTATTTTGTAACCCACGAAAGCTCGAGAAAGAGAATGTCCTCTCAAGGCGGATCTTTCAACCGCTTCCTTGAAAGCCGACGCCTGGATCACCTGGCATTCCTCTAGTTAACCTGTCGCGGGGTAGGGGGTCCCCCCAGTTCAGAACCTTTCTCCCAAAGCCTCCCTTGATTCGACTTTTGGCAGGCCATTGTCTAAGGGGTTACAGCCAGTGTGCTAATATAATCTCTTCTGCTGGCCAGTCTTACTTAAGTGCTTCCATGGCGATCGAATAATAGGATACTTTCTATATCGATAGAACAAATAGGTATGATCCATAGGCTCTCATATGGCTTGAAAAAGTCTGTAATAAGTATAAGTCTTGTAATAGGGCTTTTGAATATGAGGAATAAAGGAATATACGCCCTCTGAGAAAGAGTGTAAGATGCCTTCTCTCCGAGCAGCATCCTTTAGGCGAGTAGGCCCGTCTTAGAAAAAGGGATTTTAAGAAAGCTGGTTATAGGTTGCTTTCGAGGTGCGGAGCCGGGTTTACCGTATAGAGGCTTATAAGATCTAGAGTGCCTAAAGTATTACATTAGGAAATAGACAAGATATATTTCATAATATATCCTGTAATAGTGTCAGTCTTTCTACCTTCCCTTACATAGTGAATATTGGTTCCTTGGTCACCTGGGGAAGCTAACTAGATATCTTTATCTGGTAGGTGTCTAACTATCTTTCTCCCCGTGGAAAGTGCTTTAAGGCAGTGGTGAATGCTAAGCCCCTCTAGCCCTAGATCTATTGTTTGTTAAGATTGGGATCTTTTTTAAACCAGCTCTCAAGCTAAGCCTCCATCCCAGCGAGCAAGTCCAGCGCTGTATGAATAAGCTAACCAACTAGGTTTTGGTTTTACTAAACTATAGGAGTCACAAAGTCAGTCAGGTTCTTAATCCCATGCTCTAACGCTCTATCCTGTAAGTCTGGTTCTAGAGTATGTATACTAATAATAAGGTACAGAAGAAAAAGAGAAAGGGTTAGCTGGTTCTAGACTAAGCTTTTAGAGCAATTCCCTGGTGAGTAAGGTCTAGTAAGATATCCCCTGCTCTTGTTCGAGAATCTGCTCTACATGAATGCCCAGAATCTGCTGCTCTCTTTCCTGCTTGAAAGACGGATACCCATACTCTTTCTCGCCCTTACGAGGACGAAGTGAAAGCTTTGTCAGGAATAGCCTTTATCTCTTCTTTAAAACGTCCTTACAGAATCCTAGATGCGGGGATTGCAGGGTGTTCAGAAAGACATTGAATTGAAAAAAGTGTCTTTGCTTCTCAGGGCCCTCTGCGTAAGAGAATCCCGGAGTTGAGTCTGTAGAAGCTAGTGAGGAGTGGATTGACTTTTGACTTGTATTGGCATTGTCCCAGAAGTTCCTATTTCCATTGCTGGAGTGAGATCAAGTGAAAGCCAGTTATTTGCTCTCTTGCTAAGCTCTTTTAGTTGGCCTAAAACGGCGAGCGAATAGGGTCGATTGCTGTCTTTTTTCCCTTTTTTCTTTTCTGCCAGCCATGACAATTCTGCTTTCGCTTGCTTCTCGCTTTATCCGGGATATGGTCTATAGTGGGCAATGGTTCCCATACCAGTGAAAGTTCCAACGCTGACTACCAGGCATGAGTCAATAGCTTTGGATTCTGTGGCATCAATCCCAGTTGCCTTTTTTTGGCCGTATTCTTCCATTCTTCCTTTCCTAAGACCGGTAATTAGGCCACTCACTGGAAACCCGGGAATTTTTCCTAAATCGTAGGCTAGGTCTATCTAAACCTTTCCCTTCTATAGAGAGGTAGTTACCCCCTTTCTCCCCTGGTAGTTCACTCACTCCAAGTGCCTACCATTTCTATATACTTTGGAAAATAGAGAGGGATAGCTAGAAGCTCAATATTGAAAGAACGCCCTTCTTCGGGAAAGAAGAGCCAATGACTCCATATTTAGATTCAATGGTTGAATCTAACAACACATACTCAAAAGAGAAGAATAGGATCTGAATGAAATCAGTCACCGTCGACGGTCGAGAGACAGAGCAACCCACTATCGAACCTATAGACAGGACAGTTGAAGCGAAAGGGTCTTGGTTTCAAGCCAATAGTGACAAGGCCTCGAAAAAGAGCGCAGGCGAAAGAGTTGGTCTCCCTTTAGACGATGTCTTCCTCCCTTTCATCGAAGACGGCTGCTGGGGCCTTCCTGGGCGCGGCTTTAGTTCTAACCATACTGGCGGTCTTAAAGGATTGGCTATACTGATATTACTACTATTCTCCACATTAGGATTGACTCTATTTGCGCTTGTGTTACAATTATCTTCTTCTTGCATTAAGGATAACTTCCTTATTTCCGGAACAGAAGATGTAAATTGAAAGAAAAGTTGGAACATGTCAGGCTATTTCAGTAGATCGTTCAACTCGCCTGCTTGCCTATGAATGATGCTCTACCTCACTCGACTTGCACTGCGCATCTCGTCCTACACCTCCAAAATATGCAGACGGAGCAACAGTATGTCGAAGACCAGGTCAACCAGATCGTTCTGCTTTCTCCGTAGCACTTGACCATCATCCACGGCCACCTCTAAGCCCTTTAACACCATTCGTCCGTCTTCCCTAAATTCCGAGCTATCCATAATCTAGGTTTTTTTTAAACAAGCTAAGATTTCTCGCTAAATTTTTGTCTTCGTTCTTCCCTACCTATCTGACTAGGTAAGAGCTTTCTTGCTGTGAAATTAGTTGATTAGACGGCTACTATCTATAATAATATAATCGATGATACTAGACCTTCGAGCGATGTCGAAAGGTAGGTTTAGTTAATCCTAAAAAGAAAGTTGTTAAGCTTTCGGTTTCCCGGAAACTAAGAAATGGCAGAGCATTCTTTAGTTGCGGAGGGAGCGAGCCCTGCATCTATAAGTTGGCCGGATTACCTTACCGCAGCATGCTTGTCCTGCGGGTACTGCCCGTGGTCTTACTAAAAAAAAGACCTCTACGACAGCCAAAAGGAAGTTGATCAGCCCGGGAACAAGCGAGCAAAATGGGTCGATACAATAAATTTGACCGGTACATTGCTGACCATAAGTCGGCATGATTTAGTTCTCCTGCAGATTCAAGACAGAACGACCTGTACCACAACCACTGGCATATGCGGTATGCGGGTGTCAGGTTTAGGTCTAGATGGAGGTTCTCGTTCCAGTTCCAGTTCTAGTTCGCTTCGGTGCTATATTGGTTATGCCCTTATATAGCCCTGTGCTAACGCACAGTGCTTCTTTCTACTACGTCATCAAAGGCCGTACAGACTGGTCTAATTAAAATCATTTCCATTTTCCAGAAGATTTCAGCGACTGCCTTCTTAGTATCTTCCCAGGCTTTCAGCGCAGCTTGCTCAGATTCTTCGATCCTGGCCTTCTGCTCCTTGGTGTCTTTCAGGCTCTGAAGCTCGGCATGGAGTGGCTCTAACTCGGTCATTAAGGAGTCATAGTCCCGAGTGACATCACTCTGCCTCTTCTCAACGGAACTGTTCCTGGAACTTCATAATTTGGCTTTTTCAAATCCTCAACCTCGGCCTCCATCGAGTCTAGATCATTCTCTATCTTCTCACATACCGCAACGGACTCCCTGGCCTTGGTTGACTGCTGAAGGAAGGTTTGGATTCTAAGATCCAAACCTCCCTTCCCTGGGTATTCTATTCTTCTTCTTCACACTCTGTTTCTTCCTCTCCATGAGCCTCTTAGCGACCTCTCGGACACACGGGACGATGATTTGGTCCCAGCCGCTGGCGTTAAAAGTTTTGAGTCTTTCCTTTCCTGAAGATTTCAAAAATCGTTCTTTCGTAATTCCTCTTTGTTTGGCGAGCTTTCCACTAGAACAGAACTTGACTTTAGGAAAGATCAGTGACTAGCCGGGCCATCATCTTGGAAGATAGGGGCGCCTTTCTTTTGTTCCATTCCAGGATAAGAATGCCATGCTACTCAACCAGAGGCAGAGAAGGAAGCTACACCTATGAATGGCAAGAAGCAGAGAAAAAAGACAATGAAAAACATAAGGAAGGTTGATTCGAAGGATCTCCCTACTCTCGCTTTGTGAATTGGCCTTTTGTTCTTGTTCTCTCTTCGTCTTTGACTCCGTCCGTCCTATTCATATATCAAGATCGGGGGATCAAGAATCCAGATAAAGAAGTCGAAATATCGTAAGAGAGGAAAGAACCTCCTATGCCCAAACAATCCCATGTCTTTACGGACCAACCACCGTCAATTTCCGACAAGTCTCTCTTTTTTTGGGGGGAGCAGAGAAAGAAGAAAGAAAAGCAAATTCACCAATTCACTTGAGTGAAAAGGAGAGCTAGATTCCTAAGAGTCATAAGAGGACTAAGAATAAGAAAGGACCAACTCGTACTAAGGCTATCGGTACTACTCTTCCTAAATTCCTAACGTAGATAAGGTGTCTCCTATGTTTACCGTGTCTAACAGTAAGACCAGCTCTCCCCTTAGTCTAAATAGCTAGATAATCTCCCGGAAAGCTAGTTCTTTAGCAAAATCAGTCTTCTTTCAAGTAAGCTATGGATAAGAGGGATAGATCAAAGGTAAAGAACCTAAGCTCTTTTATTTTGAATTTTAAGACAGTTCAATTCTTTTTCCCATTGATCCTCTTGCAGAAGAAAAGCAAAACCCATGAAGCTCTAGTAGTAAGCATATCGAGTGAGCGAGCAAACCCAATTGGAGTTCTAAGCCCTTTATTTCAATGTCATGCCAGCCGAGCCAGTAGACGTCTTAAGTTAAGCTCTTCCTGTTGCAGTGTCTGTTGTAGTTTCCGGGAGTTCAGTTAGCCTAGAGGGAAGGGGGATACCGTAATTCAATTCTGCTACAGGCTATGTTGTGCCTTTTCCTCAATGCCCTCGAAGACATCAGATCGGATAAGGTGGGTGACCTGCTATCCTTGAAGGAAAAAACCACCTCAGGGCTTAGCATTTCTGATATATTCTATTCCCCCCGTAGCAAGGTTTTTCTCGTAAAGAGCTGATTCACTTCACTTAGCCGTGGGTTCTCCCATCTCTCTTAACAACGCAACCACATCCGATTTTCTTGAATAAGACAAACTCTCAAACCAATCTCAGCCACGTCTTACCGAATCCCTTTCAGTCTTGATGGCAGATAGTTTACTGGTTGCTATCTTTTCCCCTTGAGCTGTTCCTAACAGTGGAAAGAAAGTCTTTGCCTAGCTAGTAACAGGAGAAGCAAAAGAGCTATCGTCGAAAGCTTTTCGTTTACACCGGTTCTTCTAGCCGAAAGTAACCTTTCAAAAAGTCTTTCAAAACTTTACATCCATCAGAGCGGCAGGCATGGAAAAGAGCCTTGGGGTGAGACAGATGGAGGTTGCCCTGTGAGATCCCCTCGGTCATGTTGAACCTATTCCCAACCAGTCAATCAAGGACTGACGGGCAGGCTATTCGATCAGTATTTCCCCGTGTAAAGAAAGCGCTCCTGAATCCATCTTATAGAAGGCCATCTTGCTGTTCTTTTAAAGGTGTTGAGCTTACCTACTTTGATTAACATCGAGTTCTATGTTTTGCTGCGGTCTAATGAGGAAGAGTATCGGTCTGGACTCTGTACGGTCTGTCCAAGGGACTGGATCCCAAGGCCCTTCAACGTCTAAGATGATTGTTGTTGTAACCCCTTATTCTCTTCTAACGGGGTTGCTCATTAGATTTTGATGAAATTCAGTGACAGTCTACTCCTTAGGTCATACCAAGGCACCCTACCCTACCAATTGGGTTACCTGTAACGATGGATCCCATATAGGGGAGATCGCCATGTCGGCATACACTAATTAGTGGTAGATCAACTCTTTGTCTAGTGAGTCAATCACGGGACAGCAAGTCACCATCAGAGTCAGGTTTTTTTTCTAAGTAAACTCTTGTACGAAAGCTGGTCATCCTAACCTAACCATTTCAACGGATTGAAAGTGAAGGTTTAAATTAAAGTCAGTTTATTCAAGCACTGGGAATCAATCGCTCTGGGTCTACTCTTCTGGTAGTACGCGCTTGCCCTGTCCGCACGTCTGATCGAGAATCCCCCGGTCTTGCAATTAGCCCTAGGCTTTCAAGTAGCAGTACCATTCTATGGTCTCTTGGCTGGTCTTCCTTTCTGAAGGTATAGTAACAACATATGACGAAGATGCAGATAATACGGAAGAAGAACTCTACCGGGATAGGAAGGAGGAAGAACTTTTAGCATTTACAGCTGCTTCTTTCTGATCTAGGAGTGAATCTCACCGCAGCAAGGCCTCCTCATTCCTTTCTCACTTTTCCTATCTTAGCAGCTAGTCGAATGTAGGGGGGCTAGAATCTATCTCCTGATTTGAGTTTGTAGCTTCGCTTGTCTGGTATTTGTTTAATGGGTCTTTTGCTCTTTATTTAGTTTAGTGTGAAATGCTGATCCCAGAATCAAAAACTTCCTTCGAGCCTGTTCTAAGAGCATGGCTCTCCCACATCTTATTCAAAAAACTTCTTTTGTAGAGGAAGTCAGTCGTGAATATCGGTCTAACTTCGTTCCCTTCTTTTTTTGCTAATCAATATCATTTCATGTTCCAACCTGGGCATTATGGTGGAGACACGAGAGATCACACCTGATCCTATGATCCATCCTGCAATTCAAATTCATTATTGGTGGGTTTCGCAATCAATCCTTCCTGGGCGAAATGGGTTTAGTCTTTCCTCAACCCAGCAGCGGCTCACAACTACAAGCTGTGAATTTCCTTTTCTTTAGCTTTTCATATTGAACGATTCTCTCTTCGGACAACCTACTATATAGGAAGGGGAACCCTCTACGTTTTACCTTACGTGGATTTGATCCAAGTGAGCTCGCCGAGGAGCTGGAAGCAGCGAAAGCTGAAAGATCTGGCTCTAAGGCCAAGGGATCCCCCACCAATTCGAAGAAAACTGAGGCTGCCGAGGTCTCTACTAGTGCTGAAGCAAGAGAAAATGAAGGATCATCTGGTAGTGCCGACTTCTGCCCTATCAAAAAAGAGGGTAGGTGTCTTTTTTCCATCGACTGGATGATGGAAATGATGAATCTGCCTCTCTGGATAGATCCGAAGAACTGACAGAAGTCAGAGATCCTGGCTCAGATCAGAAAGAAGCACCGCCTTCTTTGGTACCATGATTGTCCCGCTTAAAGCATTCTAGATGCAAAAAAAAA